CGTTGACATCAGCAAACCGCTCACCCACAAGACGCCATACACGCTGTCTGCCATTGAATGTGAGCATTTGCCCACTCAAGTCGGTTACAATGACGAACTGCAGTCAGGTCGAGACCCCGATGAGGACGACGAGCATGCAGATGAGCATCCCTGAGACGGTTTCTGACAGTTTGTGCAGAAATTCTTTGGTTATGCAAACCGATTGTTGCAGCAGCTGTCCGGGTGGCTGGTCTCAGACGATCTTGGGGGTGAAGATGCTGGATGTGGAGGTCCTGGGCTGGTGTGGTTACACGTGGTCTGCGGTTGTGAGGCCAGTTGTATGTACTGCCAAATGCTCTGAAACGCCTTTAGAGACGGCTTATGGTAGAGAAATTAACATTCAATTCACGGGCAACAGCTCTGGTGGACATTCCTGCAGTCAGCATGCCAATTGCACTCTCCCTCAAAACTTGCGACATCTGTGGCATTGTGAAATCATGTTTCATTGGCTGCTGAGTAGACGCAGGTCATTGCAGCAAACACACTGTGCGTTGATCATGCTGAATTTCTGACACTTTTAGAAAACTATCGTAGGCTATCTTTAGTTGCAAGACCGGGAAAACGCCCGTCTTTGAACCTCTCTCACTGTAGACATAGGACCACCGATTAGGAGCAATTAAGATTGCTTCACGATGGCAATCTTTCGTCTGGGACAGCCAAAAATCGTGCAGTGTATCCCGGGCTTTATACTGGAGAGTGGCCATATATGAAGTGTTTCTTGGAGGTTATAGTACAATGAAGAATGATCATATGACTTTTTACATATGCCATGTGACCTGTAAATGCGAAAAAAACGTTTCCATTGCAGTTTTGCGAATTATTCCTTTCTGTCATCTGCCATCTTAGTACTTGCTGGTGTTCCTTTTTGGTTCCTACCCAGGTCTTTAACCAAACAAGGAGAGGAAGGGAAGGACAACTCTAATGTGGATCAGGACAACAAGGAGCAAACTGTCCTCCCAAACACACACTCAGTGAACCTGGCCGACATTTCAAAAGGCAACCTCCTTCCCACTTTTTAACAAATCCATTATTGTTTGAACTTTTTTCTATTCCCATCCTCTTTAAAGCTAACAAATTTGTATTAGAAAATGGCAGTACTTTACCAGGAGTCACTCCAATTTGTAACACAGGTAGCTTTTATATAAGTCTTAAAGATGATTACATGTTTTACATGAAGTTAAGTTAACATCTAGCAAATCTTTACGAAAAAGCTCACTTCATTCTCTGTATTCTGTTATGTAAATGTTAAGGATTCCTGTCTTCCCTGAAAAAACTCATGTGTACTCCTACATACTTCCTGTTGCTGTGTGGGATTGTTTTGAAGTTCAACTCTTTCATCGGCTTGCTCACCTTCAAAGCCAAATACATGGAGCAACAGTTTGGCCAGTCTGCATCAAGAGCAAACTTCCTTATTGGTAAGAACCCTTCCAAGTAAATGTTGAGGCAGGCAGTTGATTGTTTCATTTAATGTCTGGTCTTCATTCAGTGTATTCAGTTGTGCTTATGAACAAACCCTACAATTTTGAACTCTATAGGGTTTGTGTAAATGTAATATTTGTAAATATACCAACATAACAAAATGCCATTTTATGCCACTTTTTGCAACAATTATTTTATATACTTGCAAACCTTTTTTTTCAATGTTATTCCAGTTAATCCCTTGTGAAAAAGGTCTTATCGACTTATCGACCATATTTTTGTTTTTGATGTGACAGGCCATAGGCCTACTTAAAATTCAACCATATTTGGTGCAAATTCATCTGTCACACCGAACCCAAGAACAACCCAACCATACAGCATAACACACTCCGAGAAGCGTGTTAGGTTTGACATTAATTGAAACTAAAGACATGTTATGTCCCGTAGGTGTCCTGATCCTGCCTGTGGTTGCTGTGGGAATATTCTTGGGTGGTTTGTTAATGAAAAGATACAAGTTAAGCGTCATGGCAGGGGCTCAGCTCTCCTTCATCACCTCCTTCACGGCCTTCCTTCTCCTCCTCCTCCATTTCGGCACAAAGTGTGACAATGTGCCTGTGGCAGGGCTCACTGTGTTCTACAATGGGTAAAGTATTTGTATACTTCTGCAATTCAGCAGTTCTGAAAATGTAGGATATATTGTAAAGAGTAATATATGTAATATGCAATATATTTAAATCTCTCAAGTTTATTTCTTTCTTTCTTTTTCTCTGCATTCCACAGACAGTCTTGCCTGTATCATTGATGCAGAAGATTTGTTGTTTTTTTCTCTGTTCTACACACAAAACTGTCATTTGGCTCAAGAGTATTTGTTGTACAGCACACAAGTTGTATGCCTCACTTTTATGATAATTTATGTGGTTTTTAAAGTTTTGTTACAATTACCATCCTCTCAAGCATATCCTTATGGGTTACATGAATTAAAAAATGGACAATGTAGTGTATAATTTTATATGATATGAAATACTTGTTTCCTTTTGAATCTACTTCTTTTTATTCATTATAAAAACGACCCTCTAACACTAGCGTTCTCTATTCTATCTACTTATTTTCTTTTTATTTATTATTTAAAAAATCTTGCTACATGTACTGAGTTAGACTAACCAAGACTTTTCACAATAATTACATGTTATTGCTCGTTTGTTAGTTTTGATTGCTTCAATTGTTCTCACTTGTTAGTCGCTTTGGATAAGAGTGTCTGTTAAATGAATAAATGTAAAAATATTTATAGTATATTTTATAATGAAAATCAGTGTTGCTATTTAATAAATTATTTTTGGATAAAAAAAAAAATCTAGTTTCAAAGGGGGATTTGACAAAACAAAAAAACAAAACAATTGAGAACCACTGCTATAAATGAACACTGGCTCTTAGCCAGAATAGTGTGTCTCCAACTGGAAACAATCCCCAATCTCTGAATTCCTCCTCAGGACCCCTGGAACATCACAGGATGAGCGCTCACTCATGTCTCAGTGTAACCAGGACTGTTCCTGCTCTACATCTGAATGGGATCCCGTGTGCTCTGACAGTGGCATTACATATGTGTCACCCTGTTTGGCAGGATGCACCACCTCCACTGGACAAGGCAAAAACACGGTATAATTTGAGCAATCTAAAACTGCACTTTTCCAAACCTTAGGCACACAAGGTGTATTGTAAGTAAGATCAAACTTCATTTTAAGGTCCAATACTCGCCATTAACAACCATTAACTACGACTTTTGCTTCAATAAACTCCTAATTTGCTGTTTATTTTAATAGTTAGTAAGGTAATTGTTAAGTTTAGGTATTAGGTGGGATCAGGGATGTAGAATATGCTCATGCAAAATATGTGCTTTATAAGTATTAATAAACAGCCAATATGTTAATTATAGACATGCTAATAAGCAACTAGTTAATAGTGAGAATTGGTCCCTATACTAAAGTGTTACTGTAAGTATATGTTGCATACTATAATTTGCAATAATAATTTCATCTGCATTTGATGGTGGCAGGTTTTTCACAACTGCAGCTGTGTGTTAACCCCCTCACCAGCAGAGGGCAGCAGATCTGTGTCTCTGGGACAGTGTCCTCGTGGGCCAGGATGTACCCGGAGTTTCACCTCTTACATGGCGGTGTCTGTCCTCAGCTCCTTCATCAACTCTCTGAGCACTACTCCTGGATACATGATCATTAAACAGTCAGTTACCATCAGGATAGAATAGTTACTAGTATTTTGTTAAGCAAGAATTGTTGGCAGTGAGTTTTGCCCAGGCAAGTACTCTCACATTTTCTTATTTATATTATTAAATTTTATAATACTGTATTTGATGGTTCCCCAACAGACATTTTATTGACTATAAGTAACTTTGCAAATACATGTACCATCAAAACAAAGTGTTATCTTAAATTTAATACAATTAAATATTTAGATATTTAATTGGACAGTTAATACATTTAAAATGTTAGTTCACCCAAAAATGAAAATTGTCATTAATTACTCACCCTCATGTTGTTCCAAACCCATAAGACAACACAAATTAAGATCTTTTTGATTAAATCTGAGAGCTATTAATGACAGAATTTTCATTTTTGTGTGAACTAACCCTTTAACTTTTAAACTGCTTTCTACTTTATGAAATTACTTTCAGATGCATTTTCAGATCTAAAGATGAAAGGTATTTACTGTATATTACATATGTTTTTAGATGCATCACACCTGAGCTTAAGTCACTGGCTTTGGGTATTCAAACTCTTGTGATGCAAACACTAGGTACAAGTAATACAGTAAACAATAATTCATAAGCTAGGCAATATTTTAGTTTATACTGTATTATGTTTTGGTACTGTATTATGTTTTTATCCAAAACTGCATTAATGTCTAATATTGTTCTGGAGGTGGTATTCCTGCTCCTGTATATTTTGGAGCTCTCATTGACTCAACGTGTTTAAAATGGGGAATAAAGAGCTGTGGGGTCAGAGGAGCCTGTCGTATGTACGACTCAAATATGTACAGGTGTGTATGTGTGCTTGTAATTATATACCATTGTCTTTATTAGAATACAAAAATGGAGGAAAAAGCCACTGATAATTACAGTATAAAGTCTTTAAGTACCCATGTAGATATAGTGTCAGAGTCCTAAGCTCACATTTGAAAAACAAATAGGATTGTATGTGCAGCATGAAAGTCTTAATGTTCTGTTTTCAGAGTGATCTTCTTGAGCCTGACTACATGTTTAAGTGGATGTTCCTACTTCTTCATCATTGCTGTCATTGTGCTTCTGCGGAAGCAGATTAGAAAAGAAGTCAAAGCATTTCAGCAAACAGCCAGGAAGCGAAATGAAACCGAACTTCAGTCTCCAGAGATGTGCCACCCTGATGGACCCAAAACTGATACCGATCCCAGAGAAAAAACAGAAAGCACCAATACTGAATGTTAGCGATGAGCTATCATCTTTTGTAGCTCTTTCAGGGAATTTAGGAGATAGTGCTGACACTGTAAATTAATGGCAGAAGAACTACTAATAAAATCATTGACCAGGGCTGTGTTTCCCAAAAGCATCTTAAGCCTAAGTTGATTGTAGCTCCATTGGTTTCAATGGGTCAACGATGTACTTAAGCTTACAGTGCTTTTGGGAAACAGAGCCCAGGACAGCAGACTATAAGGAAACCAGCACAAGCCATAACACTCTTTATGCTCTACTGTACTAGGTGTTTCATGATCCAGAGTTTGTACTTAATAAATGTATTTGAAAAAAAGAAATCTCAGTTCTTTTTGTAGTGAATTTGCTTTCGCCAACCTAGGGAGGCGAAATAGTGTAGTGATGGTTACTCACATCACCAATGACGTTATGATTTTTGGATCACGTGTCACTTAAGGTGTGATTATGAGTACATCACATAAGAAAGATTGGTGGGATCTCTAACTTTGTAGAACCTCTTTCTGTATCATCAACACAAGGAAGACACAAGTGTAATAAAATAGATTTTATTAACAAAAGATAGACAAGAGTAATCAAAAGCTGCTAAAGGAATACCATAAATGTGCATAAGTTGTATAAAATGCAAGTGATTATGTTGGGTGTTGATATGTCAGAGCTACATTATCTGGAAAGAAAAATTGTTGCTACTCTGAAACAAATAAGGTGAAGAACCTTATTATGCATCAAACAAATATGTGAAATATTATTTGTTATCAACTGCAATCAGCTATATAACACTCAATTAAATTAAATTCAAGTTTATTTGTATAGCGCTTTTCACGATACAAATCGTTGCAAAGCAACTTTACAGCAAATTAAGTTTCTACAATATTTAGTGGTAGCTTATCGGTGGTGACTGTCAGTTAATGTACATATGGCAGAAATGTACAGAAAAATAAATTAAAGACATAATCAAACAGACGATGAACACTATTAACAGCAATTATTATATGATGCAATCAAACTTATAGCAAAATGTGGTGGTTCTGTATGTTGTTTCATGGTTGGCATCATCTGAGGTCCTCTTAGGGGTTGGCATCATCTCTTCTCAGGTGTTCTGGATCCAGACTGAAGCTTGTAAATCTAATGTAAATTAGAAAAATCATATACTGATAATATACAACAATGCTAAGGTCTCTGGAAGAGGTTTGGATAAGTGATAGTTACGTTCTCTGTGGTTGAGCGAGCAGTCCGGTAGCGGTGACTTCATCCACTGGTTGTGCTGGTAATGATGCAGTGGGGAAAGGAGCAGGAATCTGTTTCGACAGCCTTGAACATGAAGCACTGTAGGATGCTGATCTCCTGGAGCACCAAAGGGTCCTAAAATCTGGAACACACAGATGGGGCCCTGGAGTAGGTGCAGAAGGTTCTTGCCTGGAACACGCAAGCAAAAGTACCTTGAAGTGAATGGTTGCTCTCTGGAGCTTAACCTTGTTGCAAATGTCTGTGTGTCTTCTGCGTCTCTGGGCTAGAAACTTGGTCAATCCGCTTTGCCTCTCTAGGATGGCGACTCAGGATGTGCTGCATCTGTTGTTGTCTCGCTGGACGAAGACTCTAAACGTAGAAGATCTCTCTCCTCACAGGCTGGAGGCTCAGAACATGGCCGTATCTGTTGCTGCCTCACAAGCTGGAGACTCAGGACTTGGTATCTGTTATTACCTCTTCCTGCATGGGCCAGTGGCTCAGAACGTTGATGTTGCTGTCCCTCAGGATGGAAGACTTAGAAAGGAGTTTGATCTGCTATTGTCTCACACTTGCGGGGCTCAGACTCAGAAAGTTTGTGTCTGTTACAGTCTCACCTTTACAGGCCAGAGACTCAGAACAGAGGTGTTTCTGTTAGTGTCTCTCTGGACGTGGTGGAGATTCAGAACTTGTTGATCTGTTACTGTCCCTTCCCTTTCGGGTCTCAGAGACACAAGTGTAATAAAATAGATTTTATTAACAAAAGATAGACAAGAGTAACCAAAAGCTGCTAAAGGAATACCATAAACGTGCATAAGTTGTATAAAATGCAAGTGATTATGTTGGGTGTTGATATGTCAGAGCTACATTATCTGGAAAGAAAAATAGTTGCTACTCTGAAACAAATAAGGTGAAGAACCTTATTATGCATCAAACAAATATGTGAAATATTATTTGTTATCAACTGCAATCAGCTATATAACACTCAATTAAATTAAATTCAAGTTTATTTGTATAGCGCTTTTCACGATACAAATCGTTGCAAAGCAACTTTACAGCAAATTAAGTTTCTACAATATTTAGTGGTAGCTTATCGGTGGTGACTGTCAGTTAATGTACATATGGCAGAAATGTACAGAAAAATAAATTAAAGACATAATCAAACAGACGATGAACACTATTAACAGCAATTATTATATGATGCAATCAAACTTATAGCAAAATGTGGTGGTTCTGTATGTTGTTTCATGGTTGGCATCATCTGAGGTCCTCTTAGGGGTTGGCATCATCTCTTCTCAGGTGTTCTGGATCCAGACTGAAGCTTGTAAATCTAATGTAAATTAGAAAAATCATATACTGATAATATACAACAATGCTAAGGTCTCTGGAAGAGGTTTGGATAAGTGATAGTTACGTTCTCTGTGGTTGAGCGAGCAGTCCGGTAGCGGTGACTTCATCCACTGGTTGTGCTGGTAATGATGCAGTGGGGAAAGGAGCAGGAATCTGTTTCGACAGCCTTGAACATGAAGCACTGTAGGATGCTGATCTCCTGGAGCACCAAAGGGTCCTAAAATCTGGAACACACAGATGGGGCCCTGGAGTAGGTGCAGAAGGTTCTTGCCTGGAACACGCAAGCAAAAGTACCTTGAAGTGAATGGTTGCTCTCTGGAGCTTAACCTTGTTGCAAATGTCTGTGTGTCTTCTGCGTCTCTGGGCTAGAAACTTGGTCAATCCGCTTTGCCTCTCTAGGATGGCGACTCAGGATGTGCTGCATCTGTTGTTGTCTCGCTGGACGAAGACTCTAAACGTAGAAGATCTCTCTCCTCACAGGCTGGAGGCTCAGAACATGGCCGTATCTGTTGCTGCCTCACAAGCTGGAGACTCAGGACTTGGTATCTGTTATTACCTCTTCCTGCATGGGCCAGTGGCTCAGAACGTTGATGTTGCTGTCCCTCAGGATGGAAGACTTAGAAAGGAGTTTGATCTGCTATTGTCTCACACTTGCGGGGCTCAGACTCAGAAAGTTTGTGTCTGTTACAGTCTCACCTTTACAGGCCAGAGACTCAGAACAGAGGTGTTTCTGTTAGTGTCTCTCTGGACGTGGTGGAGATTCAGAACTTGTTGATCTGTTACTGTCCCTTCCCTTTCGGGTCTCAGACTCAGAACTTGTTGATCTGTTAGTGTCCCTGCCTTCGCAGGACTCAGACTCAGAACCTGCTCTGTTAGTGTCCTTTCCCTGACAGGACTCAGGAAGGACTCAGAACTTTGGTGTTTCTGTTAGTGTCTCTCTGGACAGAGGTTGATCTGTTACAGTCCTTTCCTTGACAGGACTCAGACTCAGAAAGGAGGTATCGGTTGCTGTCTCCCCTGTAGTGGGCCGCAGGCTCTGACCGGTTGTGTCTGTTGCTGCCTTCCCTGAAACAGAAAGGAGACTCAGAATGGACGGCCAAATTAGAAAATTGTTGTGATGAGTGGGGGCGGGGCCGAGAGCCGTGGGAACGGAGCGAGGCTGGTGGAGTAATTGATAATGAGTGACACCTGCACCACTCATCAGTCTCGAGTCCCATGGAGGAGCTCCGGAAGGATAAAAGGAGGAGTGACGACAGTGAAAGACGAGAGAGGACCAGGCCTGGATTTTATTTTGTGTGTGGCAGTCGTCCGCGAGGGGCTGCCGCTTTACTTTCATTTTGTGTTTGTTTATTTTATTAAAATCTCCTTTAAATGTTTTCCGGTTCCCGCCTCCTTCTTCCCATGACTACGAACGTTGTTACATTGGTGCCGAAACCCGGGAAGAAGGAGGGACACGCTGTTAGAGAACCCTCGCTGCTGAGGGGGATCGCGGTGCTGAGGAGATCGCCGGTGGCTGCCCGAGGTGGTGGCGCTGGAACTATGGAAGACGAGGTGGAACGGAGAGCTCGCTGCTGGCTGCCCTCAATAGGAGGAGCCATCGCCGTCCGCTAGGAGGCGGAGGAGCAGTGGGCCGTCCACCAACGATGTCCAGTACCATCGCATGGCACCGAGAGTGAGAGCCTCTCAGGACCAAGCGGCAGTGTGTCCGGGAACCGGATGGATAATTTTTTTTCTTTTCCTCTCTCCCCTCTCTCGTATCTGTCTCTCCTCATCCTTCCGTCTCCTTTTCTCTCGCCTCATCTGTCTGTCCTTACCCCCAGGTACGCCGCGGCCGCCGTGATAGGCTCCCCCGGAGGGGGGAGGGGGGAGTAGAGCGCAGTCTCGTGGGCAATCAAAGATGTAGCTATATGTATCTGATATATAACTGATAAGATTTAGTAAAAAAGTAGAAATGGCAAAAGAAAACCTTAAAACAAAGATAGTATCCTGCTTGTTAAAGCTGTTGATGTGTTTTCAAAGATTCACAGTCATTCCAAACTGATGGAGTCACAAACTCAATAACACATTTTTTACTGTAATTGCTAGGCTTTTCAGTGAATCAAAAAATTCTCAGTATGATAATTTAATTGTTTTATTAATTTAATTGTACCCAGTTAAAACCTGACATTTAGTTTTGTTTGACTGTGCTGTATTTTGCTGTATATTGCTAATGATGCATACTACTGTCACATATAAGAGTCAAGGTCATCAATCTCAAACACTTTCTTGAAGGTGCATTCAATATTTTTTTTCTGCTTTAGCACCACTCACTGGTCTCGAGTCTCACGGAGGAGCTCCAGAAGGATAAAAGGAGGAGTGACGACAGTGAAAGACGAGAGAGGACCAGGCTTGGACTTTATTTTGTGTTTTGTGTGCGGCAGTCGTCCACGAGGGGCTGCCGCTTTACTTTCATTTTGTGTTTGTTTATTTTATTAAAATCTCCTTTAAATGTTTTCCGGTTCCCGCCTCCTTCTTCCCATGACTACGAACGTTGTTACATTGG